ATTTTTGCCTTAAATTCATGACCACAAACTGTAAGCAAGCCCAATCGTATTGCATGTCTGTACTCATTTTTCTCTTTCTTTTCCTAGATATGTATTTCATATTTTTCTCTCAAAATCACAGATCTCCCTCTCTCCCTAAGTGTCTCCTTCACTGCCATCATTTCAGTTCAAGTCACCATCATTGCCCATCTTGCCTTCTATTTCTACTTCTGGTTTTACTCATTACCCCTTGTGATATATTAACCTAGTAAAAAGAGTTCTGTTGTTTCCCGTTTCCACCAAGAGCCTTTGCACTGAACCGTATTTCTAACCCATTCTTATGTTTTTTTGAGACGGGGTCTCACTAAGTTGCCCACTCGCTCAGTCCGCAGCCCAGCTTGGAATCCTCCTGCTTAAGCCTCCCAGATTGCTGGGAGCACACGTGTGCACCGCCATACCTGGCCTCTTTGGTCTCTTTTAGTAGTTGTCCAGATCAAAGTAGAAACCAAGGCTTTATAATGTCCTTCTGTGCACTACAAGGTCTAGCCCAGGTATCTCCAATAAGATGAGTTACTTCCCCAACCTTATCTGGTGTGTATATTTATTTGATTTACCTTAATTATAATTTTGAACATGTTCCTACCTGTGATTTTTGCTGTCGCTGTTTTCTCTGTCTAGAATATTCTGTTGCAGGTATCACCCTATCAACATCTGTGGCTGACCTCTCCATCACTCCTTCGTTGTTTGAAAAGAGTGCCTATGAGAGAATTAGTTGTACTGTATGGTGTGAAGAGTAGAAAGGCAGGGGTATGGCAAATGCTAGTCTCCTCGGTGGAAAAGGGCCAGTGTATGAGGTAACTAGACTTGCTAGCAATTGCTCACATGCTTGCTATTCTGCGTAATAGTGAAAGAATTAATTCAGAAGAAACTGGGTGTTTAATAGAGAAGCCAACTGTGTAGACATTCACAACTCAAGGTTCATAATTTGAAGATTCTTTTCCTTAGTATTGAATTTCCCTTTGTACATAAGTGTCCTGTAACTCAGTTATGATTTATTGAAAGCTTTTTTAATTAAAAAAATAGGTTAAAGAACTGCTTGGGGATTATTTTGAGAATCTATTTTAAAAGTTTAGTAGAAAACACTCAGTTTTCCTCCTTAGGAGAAAATATATATATGTTTCTTCAGACAAGAAGAACAAAATTATTTTGTTACCTGGCCTTACCAAGATTTCAGAGCCCAATCAGTGTTTATCTCAACTTCCCTCTGCTGCTGTATCATTTTGATTTGGGGGTGGTGGTGTGGGCTGGTTTGCACTCAGTATATGTATCCCAGGCTGGCCTCAAACAAAAGGCGACTCTCCTGCATCAGCCTCCTGAGTGCTGGTATTGTAGACATGTGCTACTGTGCCTGGCTTTCATTTGTAATTGCAGGATTTATACAGTTTAATTTTATAAATTAACAGAAGTACTTACGGAAATAGACTTAGCTGAAATTAGAAATATTCTCTTATCAGAGAGTATTTTTCCTGTCATAGTCAAGAATTTTTAACAGAAGTTCTTTCCCTAATTCTTTCATGTTTATTTGCCCCTTTGTTAAGAAGGAGGATGAGTTATAGGAAAATAATAGTAAAAAAAAGTAATGTGAAGCCAGACATAAAGTTAGTTCACAAAGCATAAATCACAGGATTTGGAATAATCTGGGTGAATTTCTGCTTAGCTGATGCTTTGAGGAGAAAAAACTATCTACTTTTATTTCCTGGTTGCTGAGGGCAAGAAATGGGACTAATCCTGGTGCTGGCTTTTGAGTGGATCTCTTCTGTGGCTCCTCATGTTCACTATGTGTGATTGATGCAGGGCATTAGAACAGGGCAGTGTAGTACCTCTTACTATATCTTGCTATGAAGATGCAAGAAGTACCATGTGCTTTGACCTTTTTTTTTTTTTTTTCACTAGGAATGAACCCAGTGGATCATGCTTTGTAGACGAGCACTTTACCATTGAGCTAGCTACATCCCAGTCCTTACTTTCACTCTTGTATAGTGCTGTTAGTAGTTCTTAACGTTTTTGGATTGTAGGCCCATGAGTGGGTTAGTGAGTAAGTGAGTGAAGGAATTTATTTACTTACTTGGTGGTACTGGGGATTAAATCCAGGGAGTGCTTCATCACTGAGCTACATCCTTAGCTGTTCTCTGACAGGATCTGAGTTGCCCAGGATGGCCTCAAACTTGTGATCCTTCTACCTCAGCCTTCTAGGTGGCTGACTGGTAGGCCACAACACCCAGCCTCTCAAACATTTTTATGTAGTTTTATCATGAATTTGATATTGATGAGTATATTCATTAAGAGATTATAACCTATAGGTCTGTAGTAGGTTTTAGACATATATTCATGTAATGACTAATCCAGATGGTTTTTTTTTAATCCAGATGATTTTAATGTAGGTTATACCATATCATAGGTTGGTATGCCATATCTTTTTTTTTCTTCTTTGGGGGGTTCTTTTTGAGACAGGGTTTCACTGTGCAGTTTAGGCTGACCTTGAACTCCGGTTGTGGCCCAGTCTGTCCTCAAACTCACAGCAATCCTACTGCTTCAGCCTTATGAGCACTGGGATTACGGGAGTGAGCCACCATGTCCTGTCTGTCATGCCATATTTTGAGAAAGTATTTCAGGGTTATAATTTCATGGAGTTTGCAGATTCCCTGAAGTTAGCACGTGAACAGGTTAATCTGTGATAAGTGTTGGGGGCTGTATTTCAGTGACAGAGTGCTTGTCCTAGTGTGTGCAAGGGCCCTGTTGGCGCAGGCCTCAAAACCAAAACAAATTCTGGTACATAAGATAAAAGACTTCTGTTGAACTTTATTGGTCAAAAGTAAGTCACATAGCCACATTTAAGTTGAAAAGGAATAGCATTATTTAATAACACATTTCATTTGGGGAATATAATTAGTTGGTGATTGCTTTGTTTTGATGTTGAACCAGTCACATTCTTAGGGTAAGCTGTGTATGACTACTAGCAATCAATGTTTTGCTGTTTTTTTTTCTTTTTTCCATAATTATTGAGAGACATATAGCAATGAGACAGTTTCAAATCAAATTGGTAGGACAGTTTCAATAATTATTACATTGCATACTCTCTTCCTAGTGGTTATTTGCTGTACAAGATGCAGACATGATATCCTATTTACAAACACTATTACAACAAATCCCTTAAGAGGATCCATTCACATTCATTAAGAGAATGTAACTATATATCTATCCTAACCATTTTGAATACATGGATACAAAATGGACATTCATCTGTATCCCCTTTTTTGTTTACTTTCATCATTTGAATATTATAGGTGTGTCAACTCAGCAAAATATTCTAAAAGAGTCCAGTAGTCCGTAATAGTATTGGGTCTTCGCTGTTTTGCTGTTTCTTGTTTGATTTGTAATTGTTTAGTTCTTTACATTTATGTTTTGTGGTAAGATTATCCTAAAATTACCATTTATTTTTGCATTTCTCTGATTTCATGGCAAGATTTTATTAGCATTATGAAGTGAGATCTCTCCTATTTTCTCCCCTCAGTTTTCATACTATATTATATAGAGTCCCACTATATAGGTATCCTGCATCAAGGGTTCTACATGTGCAGATTCAACCAACTTTAGACTGAAAATAGTTCAGAATGTATAGATTTTTGACATTTCCTAAACATAGTATCACAACTATTTGCTTAGCATTTATGTTGTGTATTAGGCATAAGTCATCTAGAGATGATTTGAAATCTATGTAGGAAATAGGTAGATGTCATTTTAAATAAGGGATTTAAGCATTCTCAGATTTGTCTGTCTATGGAGGATCCTGTAGCCAATTCCTTTAGTCCCCTATGGGTACCAAGATACAACTGTACTTTTTAGTGAGAGAATTAGGCCCCCTACACAATTAGAGGATCCACTCTTCCCATAATTATCACTCTCACTTATACCAGTTAGGAATACTCAGTGAATTTATTGAAAGCTGTAATCATGGTTCTGTTTGTTAGGGGAAGGATTCAGATTAATATCAGCCAAAGGAAGAAAACTATCAGGCAAAGCCTAGGAGATTGCGGAATGTGTTTCTGTTGTCCTCTCCCTGTGTAGTCAGCAGATGTTTATCTTCTGGCCTAATATGTGACTTTTATGTGCAAATAACACCAAATAGGGAGGCTCCTCCATCTTCTATTGTTCAGAATTGTTAGGAAGTTCCTCACATAAACAGAATTGCTCACAAGAGTAATTTCAGTCTCCAGGTTGGCTAATACTATGACTCAAATTTCTCCTTCTAAGACCTTATAGGCCTAGCCAGTTCCTTCTCTCTAAATCATGTTGTTAGTATATCCAGTATGATTCAAGGTCCTTAGGCAAACAGAGAAACAATTAAGTGACTTAGTATTTCACTTGCCCAGATTGTCTGTCGAAACCCAGAGGATGGACAACACATTCTCTTTGATCAAGGCCAAATTCTTCACAAAAGTTTGAGACAGGGTTTGAATATGTAGTCCAGACTGGCCTTGAGCTGGTAATCCTCCTGCCTCAGCCTCCCAAGTGCTGGCATGAGCTGCCATGCTCTATTTAAGCCCCAACCCCACCTCCCTACTCATCCTGAGGATCAAATTTAGAGCCTCGTACCTAGTCACATGCTCTACATGAAGCTACAGCTCTAGCTCTAATGTGATTCCTTGATCAAGGTTAAGCATATAGGGTTTCAATGATGGAAAATTATTTCTTTTTAAGTTTCAGTCTAGTCGCCACCCATGGTGGTACACAGCTATAATCCCAGCTTTCTGGGAGGCCGAAGGAGGAGGACCAAAGGTTCAAGCCCTGCCTAGACAGCTTAATGCTGGGCACATAGCTTAGTGAGAAAGTCCTGGGTTCAGTCCCCAGAGTGTGTGTGCACATATATACACATGCTTAAATCCCTGCATGCTCTTTTAAAAATTATACTTTTGATTTTACTGCATTTAAATTTAACCACTTTTTTTTTTTTTTTTTTAAAGAATAAAGGTTCTCTTCAGTTTGAAGACAAGTGGGATTTTATGCGTCCAATTGTTTTGAAGCTTTTACGCCAGGAATCAGTTACGAAACAACAGTGGTTTGATCTGTTTTCGTAAGTAATCTATTAATTCTTTTTGCTAGCATAACTAAATTTTGACATTTCTTTCTATGCCTTTAAGAAGTATACAATTCTAGGGGCTAGGGAGATGGCTCAGTAGAATAAGCACTTACCTGGCAAGTGCAAGGAAGGGCCTGAATTTAATCTCTGGTTCCACCAAAAAAAAAAAAAAAAAAAAAAAAGTATACAATTCCAGGTGGTCTGTTTAACTCTTTAAAATTAATAGTTGTAAAATAAATTTTAAGAATTAATAGTTGTTTAGAGGTTTGCCAACATCTCTCCCAGGTTCAGGTTTTCTAGGTGGACTCATAATACTGAATATATATGTATTAGAGGAGAGCGCTATTTATTTATGTATTTTGTATTGTAGGGAAGGATCTACAGGGTGTTCAGGGTCTCACTACTACATTGGACTCTTAGTGATCCACCTGTTCATAGCCTCCCAAGAGCTGGGATTACAGGTGTGTACCACCACGCCCAGTCTCAATTGCCCTCTCAGTCTCCTGGGGGCAGGGCCTGGAATCAAACTCCTGGCCCCTGCACCTGCTTGCAGGTGGTTTAATCCGTTGAGCTATTTGGCCAGCTCCTCTACACAGCTATGTAATACAGTGAAGGGATACCAGCTGAAATGAGCAAAGGGTCTGGGCATGGTGACACACCTACAATCCCAGCCCTCAGGAGGCTGAGGCAGGGGCATCACTGTTAATGCAAGGCCAGCCTGAGCTACATAGTGAGACCTTGCCTTGAAAAGAATAAATAAAACAAAATCAGTGAAAGGAAATAGCACCTGGGGCAAGGTGAGACTAGGGGGATAAAAAAGAAGTTGGCTTCCAGGGTAGTCACACACAGGACACGATTTCCCCAACAAGAAGACTGGTAACATGTGATATGTTGTCTACCAGGAAGAGCTGACAGACTCAGTGTCCAGAGTTCACATGGAAGCTGGTCACATAGTCTGTGCCTGGCATATACCAGGATTGTAGCCTCTCAGAAAGAGGGCAGATGTTTGGTGTGAACTATATTATTTATATAAACAACTTAGGTACATAAGCACTATTAACTGTTTCAGGAAAATTTTATAGAAGTGTATGAAATGTGTTGAGCATTTAGGTTCTCCAGTGCCAGCCAAAGGCTAACCTTATGAACAGGCTTTTCTGAGGAATACAGTCTCAGGTCTTGGCATTTTGGACAAAATGGCTTTATAGCTAAATTGTTAGCCCCCACATCACAGAGCAGGACCAACCAATTGATCTCAGTTACACCTCTTAGGGTCTTGGATTTAAAACAGCTCCCATTAACCATGAAGTTTACCTTAAAAAACTGAAGATTTTTCTCCTTTATTTTTATATGTTTTTTTTAAGGAAAGTGACCTGAGGCGTCAGTTCAGTAAAGAGCCAGTAAAGTGAGGCAAACATTCATGTTGCTCAGGGTGCATACACAAATAAATGTGATGTTTGACATCATGTAGGATATCCCTGAAAACAAAGAGTTTTACATTGTTAGGGTTCCCCAAACAAGACTTGTTAGTCATTTAGTACCAGTTAACAAGGCCCCCAGTTGGATTTCCACTCTGGTGCTTTACTCTGAGGTTCTCAGTCCAGTCCAAAATTCAGTTCAGACCTTGGTTTCAGATGGACTTATGCTTAGTTGTTGGTGGTTTGCTCATCGTGTGCAGCAGTTCATGTCTCACTGGAGTGAACCCCTACAGTTGTTCTCCGTGAATGGGACAGAGCGGGCCATGCTCTGGTGCCTCCCAGTCAGTGCTACTGGCACAAGTGTGTACTTGGCAGTAGGTTTGAGTTCAAGAGACAGACAACTTGGAAAGACAGCACTGGGCATTTCCTTTTAGGAAGAGGGGCAAGCTTGTAGGAATAGTTTTGAAAAGCAAAAATCATTAATATCTTTTGTTTCTCTTTGCCTACCCAGGTTCTGGGTTTTGTTTTTCCTCTCTTACAGAGTCAGCGTTTTGTGTTTGGTAGTAAGTCTTCCATCACCCCTCTCCCCTCATCATACAGATTTTTAATGGGGATGAAAAATTTTAGGGGCCAGGAAATAGCTCAGCAGGTTAAGTGCCTGCCTGGCAAGCTCAAGGTCTTGAGTTCAATCCCCAGTAAGTCCCCCCCAAAAAATGAAAGCTTTTTTTTTTTTTTTTTTTTTAATGTATTTGGTTGTTACAGGATCTCCTTACTACACAGCTTGGACTCATAGTGATTCTCCTGTTTTCAGCCTTCTCAGCATTGGGATTACAGGCGTGCACCGCTATGCGCAGACTCTGTGGCTGGCTCAGCTCAGCCTGCCCTGTTGGTAGGACTAGTGGTGCCATAGTCCCTGCACTTGCCTAAGCTTGCCTGAGCAGGGGCTTTAGTCCGCTAAGCTATCTCACCTGCCCTCAGGCATAGTACTTAACTAGAAAGACATGTTTTTAAATTGAACAAGATGAAATTTTCCAAAATGAGTTTGTTATTTCTCACCTCTTTTTCCTGATTTATTTTTCACTACCTAGTCTAGAAAAAAAAAATCAATTCCTTTCTGGGGACTGCTGTATTTGATAGCCACCTTGCTTTACTGAGGTGGGCTTATCAGAATGGTTTAGAGGAAAGTAAGAGAAATAGGTTATTAATCCATTGTTGCAAACTGTACCTAATTAGAAAGCTGAACACAAATCAGTAACAGTGAGACACAGAAGTCCAAAGCATGAGGATTAGTGAAGAGATTTTATGATATATCCTTTTCTGACTTGGAACTTTTGGCAGGAATGCAAGTTAAGAATGCAGTGTTCAGGGGCCGTAGAGATGGCTTAGTGGAATAAGTGCTTCTGTGGCAAGTACAAGGGCCAGAGTTCAATCCCCGGTTCCACCAAAAAATAAATAAATAAATAAAAAGAATGCAGTGTTAGGGCCAGGGAGATAGCTCAGCAGTCTAAATGCCTTCCTGGCAAGCACAAGGACTGGGATTCGAAAGGACCTTGGTTTGATCCCTGGACCTGTATGCCATGCCAGCCCTGCCCTGGGCACACCAAGCTGACCACCGAAACTGGGCATGGTGGTTGTAATTCTAGCGCTAAAAGGCTGAAAAAGGAAGATCACTACAAGTCCAAGTTGCATAGCAAGACGCTACCAAATACATTTTCTAAAAAAACGCAATGTTACTCTTTGTATCAAATATGTAGAGCGAAGTTGTACTTTGACTTTGGATGGTCTCATCAAAGGTTAAGCCCTTTTCTAAGGTCATCTGTAACTGTTGAGATAGTTCAGCCAGAATCCATGATGTTCAGTTTTATGAATACATAGTAGGAACTTTTAAGTCTTACCATCTTTAAGGCAGAGTCCTATTTATTATATGCCTGCTTTCTGTTGATCATGGCTTGTGGTAAGGTTGTAATGGCCCATCATCACAATCAGATCTCATTTTAGTGCTAGGCCAGGTATTTAAAAATATGTGAGTTCAGAATTCTAGGAAAGCCTTCAGCTTTTCTTTGACAGCTGCAAAGCTAAGATGCTGCAGATCTCAGAGTCATATTCTAAGTCCAAGTGACAAGCAATAGTGTCTTTAAGTCTTTTTTATTTATTTTATCCAGTCATAGGTTCCAAATTGACCCACTAAAAAAATTTGCCCGTCTCACTGGAAAACCTGATTTCACAAGAGTTGAATTACTTGTGTTGGGTTTTTGTTTTGGTACTGGAAATTGAACTGAAGACCATGCGGGCGCTGTGCTGCTGAACAACATCCCCTGCCCTTAGAGTAGTTCAGTAGCAACAAAGAAGTGGTTTTTAAAAATTTAAAACAAAAAAATGTTACCAAATGTTTACCAAAAATTAGTCAAACTTGAAAATTGTGTTTCTGTTTGAAGATTTCCTTCATTTCACAGCTCCTTTTTGCAGATACCACTAGATAAAAGTCCTGGTAAATATTATCCATTGCAGTCTTACTCTATTTTCTGTACTCAGAATCTACATTCAAATTTCTTCACTAGCAGAAAACAGTGGATCCCACTTTTTTGAGTAACTTTTCCTGATTTAGATGATGATTCTAGCATTTATGAAATGGTAAGTGTATAAACTACATTAGTGGGCTGGAGAGATGGCTCAGTGGTCTAAAGCACCTACTTAGAACAAGCTTAGCAAAAAAGCATCAGGGACCGCGGTTCAATCCCCCAGC